CTTATCCTATTAAAATAGCATGTATAAACGAATTGGCTAGCTGGCTACTTAATTATTTCTAACTAAAGTTATGATAAGGTTAAATATAAACATTATTAGCCTTATTGGTGATAATAAAACATTTTCGTTATTTAATTATCATTTTATGAGGTTTACAGATCAGTGATGATGTACTACACATTTTAAAAACAAACATCATGGGAATGGCATGGTGGTGTTTAACTGATATTAGCAATTCATCTATCTATTACAAACATCCAGATTATCTTTGAATATTTTGTGGAAAGTACTTTTTCTTTTAAAACAAAAAATATGTTTCTTCACAAAATGCCTTTATGGTGACCTTTAGAAGAAATCTATCAAATGAAACCAAGGTCAGTTTGAAAATTACTTTCGAACTGCTGACACACCTGCTTGAAGCACCTAGGCATTGATGATGAATATACACCAGTGGTGAAACAGATATAGATCTGAAAATATCTCTTTCAAAGTCTATAATACTTACGTGGCTCACCAAAAACATCCAATTGAAACTTAAGTGTCTTATATCAAGTTTGATTTGTAACTTGTAGAACTATTGCCCTCATAAATATCATGTTAAAATCTTTTAACTGATTTTGAAAAATATTACTTTACTTCATAATTTTTGGAACTGATTTTCATTAAAGTACTTTAGATATTTTATTACAAATTCACATTTGAATAAAAACTAGATCTTGATTTAAGTTTGGATAATATCAGTTGTAGAACATTTGTGATTGATGCAAAACAAAACCGTCAAATTTAAGTGACATTGTATCATCTTGAATTTTTTTCAGTTAAAACAGTGGAAGTTATCCTCAATATTGTTATCAACTTTAAAGAGCACTAAGACTATATACGTCTTAAATGAAATTATTATGTATATTAATAGTCATAGCTTGAGTCTGTCTGCAGTAGTGAAGATTTCGATTGCACATCTATGGTTAAAATGTTTAGCATTGGGCTCTTCAATCAAAAGAATTCTTCAGTTATACTCTACCAGCCTGGAAAGTTATAAAATGATTTTATTTTATTAGTTCATCCTTTTTCCCATTTTTACACACCCCATAAATGCAGTACAATTTTGTTTTTCTGCCGATTACATTTATTTTGCATCTACAATATAAATGTTTGTGTTAACTTGACCAATGCTCAAGATGTTAAAGGTAAGCAGAAAATTGTGCTCTTAAATGATGCTGAAAGCAAGATTTTTGTTGAAGACTATGAGTTGGTTTGTGTAGGAAGAGGGAAATAACTTATTTTGGAAAAATTCAGATTGTAATACTAAAAGAAGAAAAGCAAGAGACAAGTAGAGACTCAGTTGGCTTGATAACATTGGAAAATGGATTGAAGATGAGAAGTTTGAGCTAGGAAAGTTGGTGCAGGTAGCAACAAACAGAAAACAATAGTTGTTGGCCATCAGAATTGTTGAGACAATAACTGATGAGAAGGCTGAGCTTTGAAGCTTTTTCTTACCACATTTTATTTGTTTGTAGTTAAACATAAAGCTATGTAATGGGCTATCTGTGCTGTGCCCACCATGGGTATAAAAACTTGGTTTTTAGAGTATACATTCACAAACTTACTGCTAAGCCACTGACCTGAATCACAAAGATATTAATCTTTGATGGTAAGTAAAATAATTGGGAGATTAGAAATAATACATCAGAGTCAAATAATGTTTTCCTCAGTGTTTTAAAGTAGGTCAAAGATCAGATATGCGAGCCTTTCTCTTTCATTTTTGGTAGGTAAATAGAGAATGGGCAGATGCCTAAGGATCATAGAGTTGCTAATACTTTACTCCCATTTTTAAAGATAGTGACAAAGTTGTCCTAAATATTATAGTCCAGTTTGAATTAGTTATGTAATGAAAAAATTCTTGTCTAATAAAAGAAGCTTTACAAAATGAGATATGATATCATAATAGACAGCCCACAAGGATTCAGTAAAGGGAAATCTTGTTTAAATAACTAGAGATTCAATGAAGATATTTACTACAGAACAATGAGACTAGAAACAAGTGTAAAACACAATCACAGTGTGCATACTTGCAGTGTACTTAAAACATTGGACAAACACTTAGTGGACATTCTCTCGTGTCAAAATCATCTGCCAGACTCTCTGAGATCTTCTACCAGGCTAACTAATCAAAGGTTGTAACAGACTAAATTAAAACAACTACAACCAGTGTTAAACAAAAAAAATTATTAAACCGTAACAACAACAACTGAAATCCAAAATAAAACTTTCAAACAATTGGAATACAAGTTGTATCACTTACAAAAAAAAAACAAACATCAAATCTGTGCCTATTAAGGACTTGATACAAACATTAATAAATAATACAACATAAATATCAAAGTTATTAATTTCAACAGATAAAGGAACTAGGAAAAAAGAACTAGAAGAAGAAAAAAACCTAATTCCAAAATTAAACCACACACTTCTCAAGATCAATAACAATACTGAGCAAAAATCAGCAATAGTTTGTTCTAACTATATCTCATAAACTAACTCTTTTAAGATCAAGGTAGGGTTTTATTTCGTGGTTAGAACATGAGGTTAGATCTCATGTGACTAGCTAACTTACATAATCTTTCACAATATTAATATCTGTAGGTCACGACTATGGGAAACTTGTGTCAGTTTCATAATACAACCATACTCAAATTCAACGTGTTCTAGCTTGAGTTAGCTCTTTAATATAATTAAAAATTCATAGTTGAGCTAACCATCAGACAAAATAAAAATTAATGGTCAACAAAACCACAACAAAATAAAAGCAGAATTCACTATCTCAAAAGATGTCTTAGTTTTCAAGAGACCATGCATTACCCAAAGCAATATGTGCTACCACATGAACAGCTGTCCTATTATATATACATAGGTGGGACTCTAAAAATCACCTAAACAACTATTAAAGGACACTGCTGTCAACATTCTTACACAAGGTTGCACTAAGCAATGTTTTCCATGAGCAATAACAGGTATTACCTACTTCAAGAATAAATACTGACACCGGTAACTTTAAACAAGATTAACAATTTTCTCAACCACATGTTATGTGAAACCTTCATGTATCCAGAACCGAAGGAATCTAAATTTGGGAAAGATAGTTAAATGAATTGTAGGGTGGCTGGGTGGGAAAAAAAAATTTTGGTATTAATGAAGTTCAGTCAGATTAGACCCTTGTTATAAATAATGTACCTCAGTGGTCAATGCTTGGGCCTTTGCTATACTTATTTACAATGATCACAAAGTTTGTTGACGAGATTAAACTTTTGGGTATTTGTAATTGTATTAAGAATTGTTAAGTACTACAAAATGGTTTGGATGAAGTAGAAGGTTGTGCAAATAGTTTGCAAACGAGCTTTAAGCATAGCGAGATTAAGGTAATGCATCTTGGTTATACAGATCACATGCTTAATATATATTAAAATCCACTAAATAACAACGACTAAAGAAAAGCATTTTAACGCAGTGACAAATATTCATAGAAGTCACTCAAACCATCAGAGGAGAGGTACAAAGGAATTCCAGAGATGTAAGAGTTATCTTATGAGGATAGGTTAAGATTTCATAAAATAGGGATAAGAAGTGATCTTATTAAAGTTTATGTTCAATGTACCAGTTATTTTTCAGTTTATTATTCACTTTTTTATATTGTGCATTATATGAAGTGGTGACTACAGCCTACACTGCTCTCATTTGGAATTTGTTCAGTGTGTTTGTGTGTGTGTGTGTCTTACATACTTCTGGTTTTGTATTATCCCAGTCACAGATTTTATTTATTAAACATATTTGTGCACACATTTATTTTTCACAAATCTCTCATCATTTCTATTGATTATTATGCTGCACAGAAGTAAAGTAAGTTAATTGTAATACTGAACTTTTAACAGTTTTTCAAAATAAAATTTACAACATTTGAATAGTTCAATTTTGATTAACTATGACCTACAATAAAAGTTTGTCTGGTACAAATTTAAGACTTCATGGTATCAATTATTTATTCTAAATATGAGAACCTCTTTGAAATGGATACAGTTATGAGGCTATTTTTACAAAACTTTAAGTACAATAAATAGATGTAATCAGGGATGAAATTCTCAATAAAAAAAGTAGAGGTACTCCACTCGGTGAAGTGAACCTGTTTTTGCGAAAGAAAAAATAATCTACGTGTAAACAAAAAATGATAAAGAAACTCAAATACATCCTGGTACTAGTACCACCTTAAAAAATAAGTTCTGGTACTCAGTACCAGTGAGTATTGGCAAAATTTCACCCCTTGATATAATGTATTGTGTACTTGTAAGAAAAATTAATTTTACTGAAAATTGTATGAGCTGAGACTCAAAATGTATCCATGAAAGAGCTGATGTTTTATTATAGTGATACAATTTTTTTATGAGGAAATCCAGTAGAACCATGTGAACAATAAAGTATGTTAAATGTCTTAAACTGGTCCTGTTCATGCTTCAGATTTCAAAGCCAGTATCAATGTAGATGGCTGATATAAATCTGTAAATGTAACTTCAAAAATACTCAGTATGATTTTCTATTTTAAGCTGTGCATAATTAATAATACTAATAGTAGTACCAGATAATCAGAAAAAATCATTGCAGTTTATTTTATTATTATGGACAAACAATGAAAAGCTTTATCTAAAACTTAAGTTAAACTTAAATACACGTTATGTTGCGACACAAAATTACGTTTTCAAAACAATATTGGTTAAGATTAAGGAAGAATGTTGTATTGTATTAATATTGATAATTATCATTTTGAAGTTGAATGGTTGTCTTAAGAAGTGTAATTTGGTAGGTCATGATTTTAACTCACATTATTATTAGACTGGTCTTACACTTAGTCTTACTAAGACTCATAGTCATACTCTAGCGCTACTGCTAACAGCAATAGTAATTTAAATTTTAGTTTGTTAGTAATATTATTATTAAAAGATTTAATGTCAGCTTACCCTTGAAATACAGTCCAGAGAAACTGTCTGTCTGCCATTTGGTATTGGGCCATCTTTACAATTTACAAAAACTAACGGGAAAACAATCGAACAACAGTCTTTAACTGTTACTACGTGTACAAACGTCACGCTCACTTTTAAGTTACACAACAGCAACAGTTTAGTGCTAATAACTGCGGAAAGTGGTGAAACAAGCCACACCCAAATGTAGGTATACAAATATTATAGAAGTTCCGCCAGACTTCCGTCAGTTTCAAAACAAGACCAACTTTCCCTATATTTTATATTCACACATGTGAACATTAAATTACTTTAATTAAGTCAATTTTTTTTATTAAACTTTGAATCATTTTGAATAATTAAATAATTCTAATCTTTGTTAAATACTCAAAAAAGAGCAAATAGTGACACAAAAATAATCACTGAGCGATGCATAAAAATATACACATATAACCTTAAATCTAAAATTATACTTAAATTATTGCTACGCATCTGCTTGTTTGTTAATTTCCGGTAGAAATTCTTTCCGAGGTACTTCAGCGATACAAGTCCCTTCTTGATTAAACCAGTTTATTCTTTCTCGATACAAACTTTTAGCACAAAGTAATCCCACAGTCAGTACGTTTCTCGTCACGTTAAATAAACTTAACAATTTTTATAATACACGCTATAAATCACAGCAAATCACAATCTCGATATCTTCGTTCTCTACCAGTGCAAAACACATACTAGCTCGAAACAGAATCTCATTAAAGACAACATTTATGAAGCCATTTGTGAGGTAGGATTAAAACAACAAGTCTGAATAAATGCAGAAGGACATCAAAAAAGCATCAAGAGGCTGTAATTAAAAAATTAATGAAGAAGAAAAAGAAATTAACAAGCTAGAAAAAACATCAATGACAAAATAAAACATCTGGAAAATGAATTATTAAATTCCAATATTAAACCATATAATTTCTGCCTGGGGTCAGGAATTCCAACTTAAAATCCAGTTACTACAAAATATGGACAAGGAGAATCACTTTGATCTATATCTATTACTACTACTGCTGACACTACCAAATAAAGTTCCAGAGTTTAGCTGGCCAGTTAAACATTGGCCAATTGAGAAACCAATGGACTATGATGGGAAGATATCATGAGAGCCATATGAAATTCAGTTCAAAGTAATTTCCAGAAGAATAGATGGAACAATAAACAACAGGACATTCATTTTCCTTCTCATTTAAAGGGACCAGCTTTTAAAATAATAAGTAACTTTTTAGCTGAGAAGCATAACAAATATCAAGCATTAGCAACTGCCTTATCCAACAGATTTGGAGTAACTCACCAGCAGAAAGTATTCAAAGCATAGTTTCGGAACAGGATACAGAGGATAAAAAAGACATTAGCTGAACTTGCATAACATCTGTAAAGACTTTTACAATTATCTTACTCAGATGTTGTTCATGAAATGTTAGATTCCTTGTCATGGGATTAATTCATAGATGCCATAAAGACGAGGATATGAGAATTAGAAGTGGAAGTGGATGTACGTATTTAAAGAAAGTTCTGTAGTTGGCAATGGAACTAGAATCCATTAAAGTCCCAGATAAATAGATAAGGAGACTATATCAAAGTTACATTATTGTCAGATAAAGTAGCAGTAAAACATCAGCTCATATGGATGCTAGTCTAGAAGAACTAAAAAGATTAGTTAGACAACTAGTTACACAGAATGGAGGAAATAAGCTACAAGACAAAAAGTATTTCAAGTATCTTGAAAGGACACATTTCCAGGAAGTGCAGACAGAGCTTGTATGGAATAAAAACTTCTTCAAAAAAAAAGGGAACACTTATAGATGTGGAAAGCCAGGCCATTACTGCCAAGACTGCGAAGAATCAACAACTGTCAATAAACTAAGAAGACAATACCTCTAGGATCAGTTTTTGAGCTCAACCAAATTAAAGGAACAACAAAGGGCTAGTCAGAAACTTGGAAACAGAATTCATCTGGATTTATGGAGTAAAGTTTAGTTGAAAAGACCCCACCTACCCCAAATGATGTAAGAATTTCACTATTTAAAGAAGTCAGTTCATGAGTCCGTGGGTTTACTGATGGGAAGTCTTGCAGTAAGTTGATCAACACTGATTATGTAGCTACAATTGTTCAACTCGATTTAATAATGAAAGATGGAAAATTGCTTCCAGAGATGAAAAAAAGAGGGGTGGTGTGAACAAGAAATGGACATTATGTTCCAACAAAAGAAAAGTTAGAAGTTATCCTTACTTTAGAAACTTCTCTATGCCTCATAATTTGAGGATAATTGACATAAAGGAAGAGTACATATTTGGAACTGATTTCATATGGAGACACGGATGCGAGGTTTGGCTAACTTCAAGTAGCTTCACAGTATATAACCTGGAAATCCCTTTGCACTTCTACATCAGGAGGTTGAACTTCTTGTAACAAACAACAAGGAGAGCAATTACTGTACCACCAAAAAGTTAAATGATCATACCACAACTTGTTAAAAATAAATATACATGTTATAGCTGTACCATAATAGATCCAAATACTTCAGTGTCTCCTGATGGATTAATAGTTTGTGTAACTCTCGTGAATCTGAAGAATAAATATACCATCATTAGGGCCATGACATAACAAACCATACAATTTGAGTCAAATTTGGATAAGACATTTTGAGGTGTGAGGCTGTACAGGTAGTTACCCACATCAAAGATCATCAGAAATAGTCACTCTTGAGGAAATATGTAGAAAGTCTGATAGCAAATCCTTAAATATAGGCAGCTTGCCACCTAAATACGCTTTATAACTGGAGCTTTAAATGTCTTATACCTGATCATTGTCAGAGATTACATACTTTGTTAATAGAATATCAAAACAGCTTCTTCAGTGGACTTCATGACTGAGGTAAAACAAATATATTATCTCAAAAGATTGATACTGGAGATGCACCTGAAATTCGTAAGTTAGCTAGACAAATTCCACTTGCAAACAGGTTGAGGTTTTCAAAGAGATAGATGTTTGTTTTTAATTATGCACAAAGCTACACAAGGACTATCTGTGCTCTGCCCACCACGGGTATCGAAACCCGGTTTCTAGAGTTGTAAGTCCGCAGACATACCGCTGTGCCACTGGGGGGCAAGAGATAGAAGTCACGAGTGGATATTGGTAAATGCAAGTCGACAAAGCAAGTAGAGAGAGAAGACAGGAAATGGATAGTGAGAATTTGTTGTGCTACCATTTGGATTATGTACATTTCAGTGGTTAATGGAATGTGCACTGTATGAGCTACCATAGAAGGTTGTGCTCATATATTTGGATGACCTTGTTGCGCATGAGAATACCTTTTATAATATATATGACGGGCTAAGGAATGTTTTGAATTGTTTGAAGAAAGAGAACATTAATTTGAATCCAATAACTGTGAATTATTGCATGAACAGGTGAGTTTTCTGGGAGACATAATAATCAGCAGGGAAATAATCTACAGATCCATCAAACACTGGCTCTTTCCAGAATTAGCTAATACCAAATAACCTGCATGAGTTAAAAGGATTTCTTGAACTTTGCTCTTATTATCATTGTTTTTTAAAATATTTCTCTGAAATAGTTTGTCCCCTACATAAATTACTGGAAAAACAAAGAAGTTTTGTTTGAATGCTGATTGTGAACAAACATTTAACATATTGAAGAAGGATTTGATTATTGCTCTTGTATTATCATATCCAACTCTGGAAGGTCCGTTCATTTTAGAAAGATACTAGACAACAAAGAAAAAAAACATGTGATTGCCTATCATAGAAAGGCAACGAATGCCACAAAAATGAGGCATTACTGTTCCACTTAAAAAGAGCTACTAAGTGTTGTTTGAGTCTTAAATTATTTTCATAATTATCTATATGGAAAACGTTTACTCTCTAGCCAGATTGTGCAGCATTGAAGTGATTGGTGAATTTTTATAATACAGATGGACAAATAGCAAGATGACTCCAGAAACTTCAGGAGTACAATATTATCATCACACATCACCTTGGACAGAACTATGGAAATACTGATGCATAGTCCTGAAGACTATCTATTAATGAAGTGTGTAAGCACTGTGAAATGAGGAAAGCACAAGATAGTAAAGATGACCAACCTAAGGTACAACAGAACATAATCCAAGATGTGGCATCCACAAGTGATGGTGAAAAACTATTGTAATCAATCACTCAATTGAAAGCTGCTCAGGCAAAAGATATGAGTTTGAAACTAATTATTCAGGGTTCACAGAAGTGCAGAGAGATCATTATAGCAAACATTGCTCCATACAGCCCAGAGACAAAGATGCATTGAGTAAAATATAATTAACTATGCTTACAAGAAGGCATATTGTGCCAGAAGTGGGAAGATTCTAGTAAACAAGTATCAAGTAGAAACAATGACTACAGCTGGTACATTCACAATTTCTACATTCTGAAATATTTCGCAATCTCCACAACCTTCCAATGGCTGGATGCTTAGGCCTTAAAAACACCAAATTGAGTAAAAAGATGTTTTTATTGTGTTGGGTGCAGAGGTTTGTAGAGAATTTGTGTAAAACATATGGACTCCACTGTGAGTGAAAATGTCCATGAAAGGAACAATATGAGGAATTATAACTATATTGTGTTGCAGTACCACTTGAGAGAGATGCTGTCAATGTACTTGGTCCCCTACCATAGAATAACAGTTGGAATAGATACATTATGGTTGTGATGGACTATTTCGTGAAATGGCAAGAAGCATATATTGCTCTTAACAACAAAGCAGAAACAATAGTAAGGCAACTCGAAAATGATTTCATCTCAAGATTTGGTGAGTGACTGTGGAACTTCACTGAGATCATAGACAGAAGTGTGTCATATCTTTGGGATTAAAAATACCAAGATAGCAGCGCTTCACCTATCTTCTGATGATATGATGAAGAGATACAACTGCATCTTTTAAAATACATCAGCCACTTATGTGGATGAACATCAGAGGATGTATAGTCAAGATATTTCACTGTTGATGATGAGTTTTTGTACAACAGTACATGAAGCTATAGGTATAACATATTCGTCACTGATGTTGGGGAAAGAACAAAGATAGATTAAGAAAAACACCATCAATGACATACATGACTATATTTGGAAAATACTTAAATAAGCTAGTGATAAAATGAAAATTCACTAAGATGTTAATGCTGAC